TTAAGGATTACCGCCTCGCCATGAGGGCCGAGGGATCGAATGACTACTTTGATATCTAGTACCTCGCTCTGTTCCTGTCGAGCTCGACCAGAGCTTAGCTGGAACAGCTCGAGCCTGGCAGCATCTGCTGCTGGGGCGACCTCTGCTCTGTCCTCGTCGATCACTTCCAAGGTACGTACACCCGGCCAGAGAACTCTTGGGACCTACACAATTGCAGACAGAGGACCGACGAGTCCCTCCTGGAGTACTTCCAGCGCTCCTCCAAGAAGCACAATGAGCTCCCCAACATCACCGACGCTGAGATGATCAACAGCTTCACCTACGGCATGACCTGCGAGGCGCTCGTCCATGCGCTTGGCCACGAGACCCCGCGCACGATGCATGAGCTCTTGGACATCGCCACAAGTATGCCACTGGTGAGGAGGCCATCTAGGCCAACTTCAGCGGCAAGGCCAAAGCCGCCGACCACCTTAGTGGTGGAGATGGCTACGATGACCCTACCTTGGCCCAACGTCGTCGTGACAAGAGGGCCAAGGACCGAAAGCACCGCAGGGAGGAGATGGTGGCCACGGCCGACCGTGCCGCAAGGCCTCAACCCCGTGGGCGGGGCACGTGCCCTGAGCAATTCAAGAAGGCGCTTGAGGCCCCTACCCCTTCCATGGAGGGCAGGCGAAGCATCTCCTCGAGGACTGCAGCACCATCAGGGGATATATCCGTGGCACCCTCAGCCAATAGGGCAAGGCCTAGAAGCCTGCCCCGAAGGCCGGCGAACCAACGGATGGTGCCTAGGAGGACGCCGAGTTCCCCGAGGCCGAGCGATGCCTCATGATCTTCGGGGGCTCCTAGGCATATGAGTCCCACCAGCAGTGCCGCATCACCAAGTAGGAGATGAACGCCGTTCACACCCATGCTGCCCCGACACGGCTCTAATGGTCGTAGATGGCCATCACCTTCGATCGGGGAGACCACCCTGACCATGTTCCTCATCTAGGATGCTACCCGCTCGTGGTCAGCATGATCATGGGCACCGCGCGCCTCTCCAAGGTGCTGATGGATGGAGGTATCAGCCTCAACATCCTCTATGCCAGTACCCTAGATAGGATGGGCATCCTGCGGAGTAGCCTGCGCCCCAGCAAGGTGCCATTCTATGGGGTCATCCTAGGGAAGGAGGCCGTGCCCCTCGGACGCGTCCGGCTCAATGTCGCTCACCTTCAAGGTGGTGGACTTCCCCAGCGTCTACCACACTCTCCTCGGCCGGCCATGCTTTGCCAAGTTCATGGTCGTCCCCAACTACACCTACCTGAAGCTGAAGATGTCTAGCCCCAACGGGGTCATCCCCGTTGAGGGCAACTTCGAGCAAGCCTACTACTGCGAGCAGGACTACATCGCCCAAGCGGCCACACTGTCCACCCCCTGTGGTCCCGCTGGCTTTGGCTACGACACCGGAAGGGCGCCGGTGAAGGGAGGAACCAAGGCAACGGTGACACTCGGCCAATCGAGCATCGGTGAGTTGCCCAAGGCTCCTGGCGGCAGCGATGGCTCGGCTGGCCCCTCCATCTAGGCGCTCGGCTCCCTAGACGGGGCTGACCCAATCAAGGTGAGTTCTGACCTTTCCCCATGAGGGAAGGCCACCACCGAGCCATCCGCCTAGTAGCCCGGCCACCTGAGCCAAGACACGAGCACCGACCTTTATCGTCGGCCCACCTCTCCAGCAACAAAAACCAAGATAAGTCTTATTCTCCCGACCTTTCTGCTCTCCCTATCATGTTATTGTTTCCCTCTTCCTGAGCGACTTTGGCAAACACTAGGCTACACCGAAGGAATAGCTAACGTATCAATTGTTGCCCTTTTCTAAAGGAAGGCTACGACTGGAGGCCCTCGGGCGAGCGAAGTCGGGATGGATGGAATGAGCCGGACGACAAGGGGACCGGGCTAGAGATCGGCGAGGGCCAACAGGACGGCCCCGACCATCGTGTTACTAGCTATGTCATCTTTCCCTCTCTTTTGTCCATTTTGTTTCATTTGCAGCTACCTCTCTATCTCCTGATCCTTCAACGGATTGCATCACCCAGCCGCATGACGCTATGGGGGCCCTAGAAGAGGCAACACTGAGGGTCTCAAGGCTAGCCCACTAGGCTTTGAGGCTGCCCAAGGCACCCAAAAGTGCGAGGGATGTTCACAGGCGGGTACCAGAGTCCTTAGCAGGATGCTCAGAAGCGAAACCGGCCATCGTTGAACAATGTATGAGTACCGACCTCGAGCCACCCATGGTGACCCACCAAGGGAGGCAGAGAGCCCCCAAGCTCGACAGAACGGGCTCAGGAACCGAACAAGTGGCTTGGTCGGGAAGCCGAGAATCTCCCCCCTGGTGGACACGACCATGGCACGGAACGACCATAAACTTGGGGTTCTCACGGGCTTACCCGCTAGTAGCACGGGCATGAGAATCTTGGCCACCGAGGCTATTGTCCTAGCAGCCCAGCCCCATGAGGGAATAGCAGCTCCGAGCTGCAAGCTCACTTGAGTGCCAAAAAGCCTCGAGGCCCGACGACGGCCTCGGGGGCTACGCCATCTCCCTAGATGGAGAATTCAGCCTCCCGATCGACGGGCGCCCGGGCGACATGCCCCTAAAACTGACCAACTCTCCAGAGTTGGGTCGGGAGCCATTGAGCAGTGGACCCAATGAGGGCTCCTGTTGAGCTCGATGTGCTCCCCGCACCCTGACCTATGACTGCAAAGGTCGGCCCGAGAGGATCGGGGCCTGCTACTGAAGCCCTCAGAAGGGTGTGGCACGCTGGGTGATCAGGTGGCCCTGAGCAAGAGCCCAGATGCTCTCAATCAACTAACCCACGGTAGGCCTAGATTAGAAAGGAGGGTGCCCCGGGCCCAAGGTCGGCAACTCCTAGACGAGTTCACCGAACCCTCGCTCGGGCCAGAGACTTGCACAACATGGGTCAAGAAAGGGGTCAGCACCACCGTCGATAGCCGAACGCTCCCCATCTCACTTGGGAAGGGCCCCACAAAGGGCATCACACTCTCGTTAGTGGAAGTCATCCCCGCCATGGCTAGCTCGGTTACCAGAAGATCCAATTCAGCCCTTCATCGCCATCACGAATCTGGTCAAGTGAGGCCATGAAGGGCTCGGGGGCTCCTAACGAGATCATAACATATGGGTATGTTAAGCTTCAGGATCAAAGGTTCCTGATCGAGAGACCCCCCGACCGACCCTTTCAGGATTGCCCGGGGGCTCCGGGACTATACCCATCGGGTACGCTCGCACGTACCCTCAGGCCAAGCCCTAGAGCGACCGCCGCTTTCGCTCGGGGGGTGGGGGCTCAACCAAGCCTTAGGCTTCAGATCGACGGAAGCCTAGACCTGATCCTTGGCTCCCTCCCAGCCTCCGGCACCAGCTAAGGCCCAGGCACGAGAAGCTACGCCCCGAGCCACTAGGGCTCGGGGGCTCCCTGGCGCTGCCCTGCAGGCGCGGGGCTGTCAACCACTTCTCCGACAGGATCATGCACAGGGCGTGACACAAGAAGACAAACTCCTCCGCGGCCTTTAGGGGCTCGGGGGCTCCCGGGCCTGCTCATCAGCCCCTCGAGCTGGCCTCCTTAGCCACCAAGAAGCCTCCAGAAGGCACACCTAGGGAGGCCGATCCAAGCCAACACAGCCTGACACTCAGCGTGTCAAAACAGAGCAGCCAGACGACGCCCAGAGCTTCTTCGGCTCCGAAATGCTGCCACCACCTTTTGCAAACAAGATAGTCCTAGGGTACCGGCTGCATTCCTCTTTTGCATAAAGTAGTCATCATGCTCCTCAACAGCATTCATTATACGAATAAACACATGACGCCTCATTCGAAATCTATGGCACAAGACTAATTAATTAGCCACACCTGCACGTATGTACAAAAGAAATTTCATACTATGAGGGGAAAGTACAAACCTTCGCCTAAAATAGTTCGCCCCATACGTAGGATCATCTGAGAAATAGTCTTGAAAAAGTATGGAGTGCCCGGACTACCTATCACGATTCAATACGCGATGTCCGTCAATAGAACCTCGGCGATATGGTTGCTTGTCATTGGCCTTTGCTACTATGTGTGCAGCAGCAACATATAAATCATCGTCATCGTCCGAAGATGATGACACAAGCACTTCACTGAACACTATATCATAGAATTCATCTTCAGAATCCATCGTTGACAGACCTTGAGCTATAGGGTAGAAGAGATAATTATATGTGTCAATTTACAAAATTATGGCCAAATTAAGCAAACCTCCTACACGGCTGGGGCAGCCACCAGCAGGCTGCCGTGATGCCCTTCGAGACGTGCGGCCGGCAATGGCCGGCCCATGCGTGCCCTGATGGTTGGGCGACTCTGCCCCTTGTGGGCTGGTGGACGTGAGCGTTGATGATGCCTGGGCAGCCAGCAACCAGTGGACGGGATCGGGATGGAGTTCCAGGCGGCCGGCCCCTGCTGCGGAACTTGAAATTGAGGCGGCGCCTGCGATGATCCGAAAAGAGAGCAGATGGGATCGGGATGGATAGGAAGAGAAAAAAATCTGGTGATGTGGCAAGTTTAAATATAGAGTCTCAATTTAGATAGTCTATTGGAGTAGTCTATTTTTTTTTAAGGAGGGATTCATTTTACAAAATACCAAAATCACTAAATTTAGATATTCCTTTTGGCTAATCCGTTGGAGATGCTCTAAAGACCTCAAGGTTTGTAAAGGTAAAGTAAATTCACTCTAGTTTTAGTGTTTTACTCAGTATGCCATAATTAAAGGTTCCTGCAGACTTTTTCGTATCAATTAGCACACACACATCAACTTAGCACAAAATAATCAGCCAACAACTAGGACAGCTTTTGGAGAGGCAACGTATCTTCATGTAGAAATAGAACGATTCACAGTGATCTTTGGTACATTCGGCATTGGGTAATAATTGGGTCAAATGATGAGCAGGTTTCAGGCAAAGTGACCTACAATGGGCATGAAATGGATGAGTTTGTGCCGGAGAGGACAGCCGCGTATATCAGCCAGCATGACCTTCACATCGGAGAGATGACTGTCAGAGAGACGCTTGAATTCTCTGCACGTTGTCAAGGTGTTGGCACTCGCTTCGGTATGACTCTGAACAATTACTCACAAGGGCTTGTGTTCATTTCTGCTGCTTGCAGATTCTGGAGGATTGGCATTTTTAATTGATGTATTTATCGAGTGTGTATTATGTTGGCAGATATGTTGGTTGAGCTTTCAAGGCTGGAGAAGGGGGGAAATATCAAGCCCAATACCGATATCGATGCATTCATGAAGGCATGGATTTACACTCTTAGATAAAATAAGAGATTATTATGGCTTTGTTTCTATCTTTTATGATAACTTGCACAGTAGCTAAGGACAATTAGCTTACCTTTTTCGCTCATCTTGTTCAAGCTTGTTCAATGCGAGGACAGGAAGCTAATGTGATCTGTGACTATATTTTGAAGGTATTTGACTTACAACTGTTGGTGGTGGTTTCAGATTGAGCTACCAAAATTTTCTTGTTCATTACTTTTTTTTAATGCATCTTGTTCATTATTCAACACTCATACATCTGGTATTGCAGATATTAGGATTAGAAATATGTGCTGACACGATGGTGGGAGATGAGATGTTGAGGGGCATCTCTGGTGGACAACGGAAGCGTGTCACAACAGGTAGAGATATACATAATTTCAGTAACGGGTAACCTTCCTTTCTGTTTACCATGGTAACTTCCAGCTTGTGTGGTGTGTCAGCTCTAAGTTTTTGTTGCTAATTTACTTGCTCATCTTCTATTGTTAATATGCTCATTTTTATTTAGCAGTCTGTGTTGAACTTTTCTTTTACTTACATAGATATATGGCTCTCCATCGTGTTCTCTAAAAAAAATATTAACTTCAATTCAGAACATTAGCTAGAAGTAGTGGAAAATGTTGTGACTGGTTACAATCCTGTAGGCGAGATGCTTGTTGGTCCAGCCAATGCACTGTTCATGGATGAAATTTCGACTGGGCTTGACAGCTCCACTACGTACCAGATCATTAAGTCGCTTAGACAGGCAATCCACATCCTTGGTGGCACAGCTCTCATCTCCTTGCTACAGCCTGCGCCCGAGACATATGATCTTTTTGACGACATCATACTGCTCTCGGATGGGCAGATTGTGTGTATCAGGGCTCCCGAGAAAGCGTGCTCGAATTCTTCTCGTCTCTTGGGTTCAAGTATCCTGAGAGGAAGGGTGTGGCTGACTTTTTGCAAGAAGTAAGTTAACAGACACATTCTTCGTTTTGAAATACGGTGTCAACCATATACTTTGCTTCTTGTAACAATCTTCATGGGCTCACTGAGCAGGTGACGTCCAGGAAAGATCAGAAGCAATACTGGGTACGGCATGACAAGCCGTACCGATACGTGTCGGTTAAGGATTTTGCATCCGCATTCCAGTCTTTCCATGTTGGGAGAGCTGTAGCAAATGAGCTAGCCGTTCCTTTCGACAAGAGCAAAAACCATCCCGCTGCTCTGACCACCTCAAGGTATGGTGTTAGTGGCTGGGAGCTGTTGAAAGCAAACATCGACCGAGAAATCTTGCTTATGAAGAGGAATTCCTTCGTCTACATCTTCAGAACTTTGCAGGTCATTAGGAACTCTATTTCAAATATAGTACCCCCTCCGTTCCAAATTATAAGTCACTTTGACTTCATATCATTATATCTAGATGCATAGCAAAATAGATGTACCAAAAAACCCAAAGCGACTTATAATTTGGAACGGAGAGGGTAAGATGGTGTGAACAATAACTACAATGCCTGACTTGGTGTTTTGATGTCAGCTGATGATGGCGTCCATAATAGGAATGACTCTTCTTTCGTACCAAGATGCACCGTGACTCGGTGACTGATGGTGGTATCTACTTGGGTGCGCTCTTCTTTGCGGTGATCACGATCATGTTCAATGGATTTTCCGAGATTGCACTCACCGTCATTAAGCTGCCAGTGTTCTTCAAGCAGAGAGATCTCTTCTTTCCAGCATGGGCCTACACCATACCCACATGGATCCTCAAGATCCCAATCTCTTTTGTTGAGGTTGGTGGGTTTGTTTTCATGGCGTACTATGTCATCGTGTTTGACCCAAATGTAGGCAGGTGAGATTGATGAGAGACTAATGTTAGCTTGTTAACCAAATATTCATCACAGGCCTTCACTTGCCATCCCAGCTTTGTGGAATACAAGGTTCTTCAAGCAGTATCTCCTTTTGTTAGCACTCAACCAGATGGCAGCATCACTCTTCCGATTTGTTGGTGGGGCAGCAAGGAATATGATTGTTGCAAACGTCTTTGGATCATTCATCCTGCTAATCTTTTTGGTGTTGGGTGGATTTATTCTAGTAAGAGGTACACCCTCACCATTTTTTGTTTGAAAAAAAAACAAAGAGAATAAACCTCGCCGTTTTTTCTATGGTCTCGTTCGGCTGGTGCTTTATTATTGCTCCATGCAGTACTTTATTATTGCTCCTTTTTGTAAAAAAAAGGTGGGTGCCTCTTTCATTTTGAATTTGCAGATAAAGTGAAGAAGTGGTGGATATGGGGCTACTGGATCTCCCCACTGATGTATGCCCAGAATGCCATCTCAGTAAATGAGATGCTAGGGCACAGTTGGGACAAAATTTTGAATAGCTCTGCGTCCAATGAAACCCTAGGTGTGCAATCCCTGAAGTCCCGTGGAATCTTCCCAGAAGCAAAGTAGTATTGGATCGGCTTAGTTGCATTGATTGGATTTGTCAAGCTTTTCAATTGTCTCTTCACGCTTGCCCTAGCGTACTTGAAGTGTGAGTTCCTCTAGGACTGGTTTGCTCATGGTTTTTGCATTTGAAAATACCTAAAATTAATAAGGTTTTATTTTGAATTTACAGCATATGGCAAGTCCCATCCATCGATATCTGAAGAGTGTTAGCCCACAGGATCACCGGTTCAGGTGAGTGAACCACTTTCCAGCCTTGCCAAGCACCCTCTAGTGTTGTCGAGCACCCACTAGCTAAGCCAACCACGAACAAGCGTTGTCTGTCCTCACACACTATAGCTAGAGGTTGGAGAAGAGGGAGAACAGAGCATACACACACAGTACAAGACACTAGCGTTGGCCGAAGCCCTATATGGGAGATGGCAAATCTGAACTCTCTTTACTGAGTTGCCGTGTTAGTCTATTTATACAACTCTATCTATCTAGTCCTAGTACAGCGCACATGCTGCAACAGTAATTAGATAACACAGCAGGACTGACTTCTGTGCATGTCCCTGCATGTGGCTACAGTGCGGCATGTGAGCCGTTCGGCGCCTGCCACTGCAGCGGCTACAGTACCACAGCAGGGGGCCTTTTTGGCATCGCCTTTCCCTTGCTGTGTGTTCACACAAGGAAAGCAGTAGATTATTCTAACAATCCTTCCCCTAATCCTACTGCTATCTCTTGTACCCCCTCCATGCCGATCATCTCCTTTAGCTCCGTGAGTCGAAGACGTCCGAGCGGCTTGGTGAGGACGTCCGCGAGTTGCCGACCAGTTTTGACGAACTCGATGACGATCTGCCCTCCATCGACACAGTCCCTGAGGAAGTGGAACTTCACGTCGATGTGTTTGCTCCGGTTGTGTAGAACCGAATTCTTCGCGAGGCGATGGCAGGCTAGTTGTCCACCATCAGTGCTGGTGGGTGAGCTTCCACGCCGGTCAGCTCGCCCAGCAGCCGGCACAGCCACATAACTTGGCACGCTACTGTGGCCGCCGCTACGTACTCTGCCTCGCAAGTAGATAGCACCACCACCTTCTGTTTCAGCGACAGCCATGAAATTGGAGCCGACCCGAGGAAGACGAGCACGCCAGAGGTGCTCCGTCGTCCGTCGATGTACCCCGCCATGTCTGCATCGCTGAACATAGTGAGCTGCAGCCTACTCCTGCCGGTCTTTGGGAAGATGATCCCATGATCTACCATCCCCTTGACGTAGCGTAGTAGCCGCTTCACCGCAGCCCAGTGATCCTCTCTGGGATCCTCCATGAAGCGACTGACGTAGCCCACGACGAACGCAATGTCCGTCCTCATGTGGACTAGGTAGCGCAGACCGCCGACGATGCTCTGGTAGAGTGTTGCATCCACCTTCGCCGCGGTGCTGGCCTTCGTCAGCTTCAGCCGCTCCTCCATCAGAGTTACGCATGGCTTGCACTCAGCCATGCCGCTCCGCTCCAACAGCTTGGAGGCATACGCGCTCTGACCGAGCGTGAGTTCCTCCTTCCCTTGTCTCACCTTGATGCCAAGGTAGTAGGAGAGTGCGCCGAGATCGCTCATTCGAAAACGAGCCACCATCTCGTGCTTGAATCCATTGATGTCCTCCGTGCGCGCGCCGGTGACGATCAAGTCGTCCACACACACACACCGACGACAAGCTCCTCCTTCCCTCGTCGCCGCGTGTAGAGCGCGTGCTCGGTTGCGCACCGTTGAAACATAAGCTCGCCCAGCGTGGCGTCAAGCTTGGCGTTCCATGCTCGTGGGGCCTGCCGCAGCCCATAGAGCACCCTGCGCAGTCAGAGTACCCTGTGCTCCTCTCCTTTGACGGCGAAACCTAGAGGTTGCCTGACGAAGACCGTCTTCGCCATCTTGCCGTTGAGGAGGGCCGATTTAATGTCCAAGTGACGGATGCGCCAGTCCTTTGCTGCTGCCAAAGCTAGTAGCAAACGGACCGACTCCATACGCTCTACTGGCGTAAAGACTTCCTCGAAGTCGATGCCCTCACGCTGAACAAAGCCTCGGGTGATGAGGCGCGCCTTGTGCTTGACAATGGCACCAAGCTCGTCCCGCTTGACCTTGTACACCCACTCCAGGCTGATCGGATGGCATCCTGGAGGTGGATCGACGAGCTGCCATGTCTCATTTTCCTCGATCGCCTTCACCTCCTCTAGCATCGCCCGTCGCCAGTTTCCGTCCTGCTTGGCCAGCGCGAACGTGGGTGGTTCCTCTGCACTGACGAGCAGCAGCTCTGTGTCATTGAGCAGCCGACTAGCCAGTCCCGAGGGTCCTGTGCCACCGACGATGTCATCCATCCTGTGGAATCGCACCCCCTCACCTTCATGGAAGGCATCCACGAACTCAGTGATATCACAGAGAGGTGAGGCGAACTCAATCGGCGTCGATGGAGTTCCCTGTTCCGCCGGAGTGCTCGGCACCCTGGTTGCAGTGCTCGGTACTACTTCTGGATAGCTCATCACTACTCCTGCAGTGCTCGGCACCACTATAGGAGTGCTCAGCCTCAGCCTTGGGGTGGCTGGCACCACTACAAGACGTCTTGGCTCCGCCACGGGAGTGCTCGGTACCTGTCCTGGTGTAGTCGCCACCACTGTAGAACCTCCCGGCGCCACTCCTGGCGTGCTTGGCATCCCTCCAGGAGTGCTCGGCACTCCTCCCGGAGTGCTCGACATCCCTCCCGAAGTGCTCGGCACTGCCCCAGGAGTACTCAACTCTACCACTGGAGTGCTTGGCACTCCTCCCGGAGTGCTCGGCACCTCTTCCCTAATGTCTCCACCATTGTGGATGACCAAGTGCTCGACGATGAAGGTGCTGGTGAAGTCGCCAGCTTCCCCCATGCTCGGACTGGTCTAGTCCCAAGCCGCCTTCTCGTCGAACATGACATCGCGCGAGACAAGTACCTTGTCTCCGCATGGGTCATAGAGCCAGTACGCCTTGGTACCCTCTGCGTAGCCTAGGAACACCATCGGTGTGCTCCTATCCTCCAGTTTGGTGAGGTTCAGCTTCGTCTTCCTGACGTGGCCGATGCAGCCAAATGTCCAGAGGAAGGACATGCTTGGCTTGCGCCCATACCAAGCTTCGAATGATGTCTTGCCCGTTAGGGCCTTCGTCGGAGCGCGGTTGAGGATGAACACTGCCGTGGTCACCGCCTCACCCAGAACCTTGCTGGCATGCCTTTGGCCTTCATCATGGATCGAGCCATGCCGACCACCGTCTGGTTCTGCCTCTCCACCACGCCATTCTGTTGTGGCAAGTACGACGTGGTGTGGTGTCGCACCACACCCTGATCCGCGCAGTATGCAGCGAACTCCACCGAAGTGAATTCGCCGCCGCGATCAGTCCTCAGCGTGCGGAGCTTCTTGCCGCTCCCAGCCTCCACGCACGTCTTGAATTTCTTGATCACCGCCGCCGCTTCGTCGTTGCTCGTCAGGAGTTGCAGCCACATGTAGCGACTGCAATCATCCATGAGCAGGAGGAAGTACCGCCGACCACCATTTGTAGCAGGCGTGATCGGCCCACAGAGGTCGCCGTGGACGAGCTCGAGAGCGTCCTTTACGCGATACTTCGCCGCCTTTGGGAATGGTAGCATCCTCTGCTTCCCGGCCAGGCAGCTGTCACACAGCTCGCCTCCGTGCTTGATGTGGGGTAGCCCTCGGACCATCTTCTCTAACCGACCAAGCGCGTCGAAGCTGAGATGTCCGAACCGGGCATGCCACATCCACGGTTCCTTGGTGTGCCTTGCCACCAGGCACACCGGCTGCTCTACCTTTAGGTCGAGCAGGTACAACCGGTTCAGGGACCTCTTCACCTTAGCAAGAAGTCGCTGCTCCCACTTCGTGATCCTAAGGACTCCATCCTTGATCAGTACCTTGCTCATCCAGCTGACCAATGCTGATGATATTGAAATGCAGCTGCGGGGTGTAATACACATCCGTTAGCGCGCGGTGCTCCCCGTTCTAGCACCTGAAGATGATGGTGCCGCGCCATTGGATAGCCACCCTTGAGCCGTTACCAAACTTCACCGTACCGGTAACATCGTCGTCGAGCTCGGAGAAGGATGCCTTGGAGCCCGTCATGTGGTTGCTGGCACCAGAGTCCAGATACCGTCGCTGCTCCTGGTCGGCGCCCACACGTCCGAGGTGGACTTGGGCGTGTGGTTCGTCAAGGTTGACAGTCTTCAGGAACTTCTCAGGTCCTTCCACCATCGTCGCCTCTTCCTTTTCCTCGGCCTCGATGTCGTGCAGTGCACAGAACGTCGCCATCAGGATAGTGGCCTCATCATCATCATCAGCTTGCGCCAGATGAGCCTCGGCCTTCTTATTCTGCTTGCGATTTGGGCACTCCCGTGCCCAATGGCCCATCTTCCCACAGCGCCAACAGGCGTTGGGGTCGACTTGCTTCTTCTTCGAAGAAGCCTTGTCGCGGCGCTTGCCATCGCCACCGCGGCTGGAGGAGGCTGCCTTCTCGGAGTTCCTCCGAGCAACCCACTCCTCTTTCGTCAGCAGCTGTTTGCCACTGTCCTTCGTTGCTGTCGCCTGCTCCAGGTGCTCGTCCACTGTCCGCAGACGGCCTGTCACATCCTCAATGGTGAGGGTGGACAAGTCCAGCATCGTCTCTATGGAGAGAGTGATCTGGATGTACTTTGCCGGCGCGGAGTGGAGGTACTTCGAGACGGCCTCCTCTTCATCGATGGTGACGCCATGGCTCTTCAGCTTGCTGATGAGCGTCTGCAGGCGGAGGGAGAAGTCCTCCACCACTTCACCATCCTTGAACTTGAGGTTGGCGTACTCCTACTTCAGAAGCTGGGCCGTCGTCTTTTTTGCGCGGTCGGAACCGACGCGCATCACCGCAATAGCCTCCCACGCCTCCTTAGCAGAGCTCTTCGTCCCCAACGGCTCCTTGTACTCCGCCGGTACAGCAGTGAGGATAGCCTCCAACGCTGACATGTCATCTTCTTCATTGTCGGTGCCCTTGTCAACAGCATTCTAGAGCCGTCGGGCCCTGAGCTTGACCTTCATGGTCACCGACCACTCTCCATAGTTGGTGCGAGTCAGCGTCGGCCAACTAGTGCCGCTGACCTCCCGCACCGTGCGAACAACGATCTCCGGTCATGGCTGGGCAGCCATAGTAGTGCCACTACTGTCGCCCATCTCCGAACCGCTCGTCATCGCCAGCGGTTAGTCTGGCGACGGCGCTTGTACGGCTCTGATACCACTTGTTAGCCCACAGGATCACTAGCTCAGGTGAGTGAAACCACTCTCCAGTCTTGCCGAGCACCCGCTAGTGTTGTCGAGCACCCACTAGCTAAGCCGACCACGAACAAGCGTTGTCCGTCACCACACACTATGGCTAGAGGTTGGAGAAGAGGGATAACAGAGCATACACACAGTACAAGACACTAGCATTGGCCGAAGCCCTGTACGAGAGATGGTAAATCTGAACTCTCTTTACTGAGTTGCCGTGGTAGTCTATTTATACAACTCTATCTATCTAGTCCTAGTACAGCGCACATGCTGCAACAGTAACTAGATAACACAGCAGGACTGATTTCTGCGTCTGTCCCTGCATGTGGCTACAGTGCGACAGGTGAGTTGTTCGGTGCCTACCACTGCAGCGGCTACAGTACCACATCAGGGAGCCTTTTCGGCGCCGCCTTTTCCTTGCTGTATGTTCACACAAGAAAAACAGTAGATTATTCTAATAAAGAGGTAGAAGTATGCAAACCTCAATGGTAATGCGGCTGAAGATAGCTTGCGACCAGGAAGTATGCAAACCTCAATGGTAATGCGGCTGAAGATAGCTTGCGACCTGGAAGTAGCCATTTAGAAACAGTTGGCATCACTAGATCCGGTTCAGCAACGGCTGAAAATTATCCTGGCACTACGCAAAGGGGTATGGTTCTTCCGTTTGCCCCGCTTTCACTGACTTTCATTAACATCAAGTACTTTGTTGACATGCCCCAGGTAAGTATTGAAATTATTTCTGTAAATCATCAACCGTGAGCAATTAACAATCAGACAGTAATCTTTTGATGAAACTCATTCAGGAGATGAAAACACATGGTGTAGTCGGGGACCGGTTAGAGCTCCTCAAAGGTATCAGTGGATCTTTCAGATCAGGAGTGCTGACCGCACTGATGGGCGTTAGTGGTGCTGGCAAGACAACTCTAATGGATGTATTGGCTGGGAGAAAGACCAGTGGTTGCATTGAAGGAAACATTAGCATTTCAGGATACCCAAAGAAACAAGAGATCTCTATGTTATGTAATCTGCTGCTCCCCTGTGTGAACACACGGCAGGGGACAGGCGCCGAAAAGGGCTCCCTACTGCTGCACTATAGCCGCTGCAGGGGCAGACGTCGAAAGGCTCCCCTGCCGCACTGTAGCCACAGCAGGGGCATGCGCCAAAGTCAGCCCTGCTGTCACATCTAGTTACTGTAGGATTAGATGGGTAGAGTTGTATATATAGCTTCCCACTGCAACCCAGTACAGAGACTGCAGAGCTCCGGCCAACGCTGATGCTTGTGCTGTATGTGCTCTGTTCTTCCTTTCTTCTTCTACCTCTAGTCATAGTATGTGGTCGGTAACACCGGAGAGTGGTCGGCTCACCCGTGCCAGAGATACAGGGGCTAACACTTTGCACGTGTATCGGGATACTGTGAGTAGAATGATATCCACTCGCCGCAGGTGACGGTCTACGAGTCACTTGTTTTCTCAGCGTCTTCGCCTTCCTAGGGATGTAGATTCAAACACCAGAAATGTCAGCCAAACAAAATAGATTCGACTTCCAGCCTCTATCTATACTTGATATATTAGAGAACATTGCTTACCTTTATGCATGCAGATGTTCATTGAGGAGGTCATGGAGCTTGTGGAGTTCAAGCCATTGAGAAATGCTTTGGTTGGACTTCCTGGTCTGAATGGTCTGTCAACTGAGCAGAGGAAAAGATTGACCATTGCTGTGGAGCTGGTTGCAAATACCTCAGTCATTTTCATGGATGAACCAACCTCTGGCCTTGATGCCCGAGCAGCTGCAATTGTTATGAGGACAGTCAGGAATACTGTTGATACAGGTAGAACTGTAGTCTGCACGATTCATCAGCCTAGCATTGACATATTTGAATCATTCGATGAGGTGAGCTTATTTATGGTGGATCTTTGTACTTTCCAGTGATTTCTTCTTACCGACATTACTTTGCATCTGCATAACTAGGCTGATTTTGAAATTTAATCGACCGTGGTTAGTCTTATAAATATGATATGAAACAATGTTGCAAAGTCTAAGGTGTTTGATGAATTGTTGCAGCTTTTCCTTATGAAGCAAGGAGGAGAGGAGATCTATGTTGGTCCACTAGGCCATCATTCTTCTGAGCTGATTAAGTATTTTGAGGTGTTGTGATATTACAAGAATATTAAAATAATTGCTCAACTTTATTGCTTCAATTTACTGATTACATTGTATTGCTCATATTGTGTAGGGAATTGAGGGAGTCAAGAAAATTAAAGATGGCTACAATCCAGCAACATGGATGTTAGAAGTAACAACAATCTCGCAAGAACAGAGACTAGGTGTTGATTTTAGTGACCTGTACAAGAAATCTGAATTATACCAGTGAGTAACTTACAACCCTCCTATTCACTTCATCTCCAGAATTTCCTATTGCCCCTACGTTGTCTTTAGTTTAAACTACACCACTAGCAGTCCTGGTGAGCAAAATCTATGTCGGAAGTCTTTATTAACCCTTAAAATATAGGGTCCAATCTACCCTGTAATTGTGGTGCCATTTAAATACCCTCTGAACTTACAAATTCTTTCTAGTCAGTACTGAAACTTTAGCTTCTAGTTTGTTCCCTTGAAAAAAATTGCAGCTTGTAACAAATAGCAGTGCTATAACCTGTGATCTAATACACTTGATGGCAAAAGCATTTGAACCTGGACTGGTGACGGGGATTTCATGATTCTCAGACGTCATCGGTCTAACTAGTGTAACTAAAGACTAGAGGTAGAGCAATTGAATCTAATTGGATTTTTTGTATTAAAGTTTAAAATGTTAAAGGTTGGAGCTAGAAGTCAGAGTTCTTATATGGGATTCTGAATTTAATTTTGAATAAATTGAAAAAATAAGAAAAAATCAAATATACTTAAGTCATTTTGTTTTCGGTTAGAAATATAATTTCTTTGTACATATATACCTCTTTTTTTAGCGAATCATAGTATAGACGGAGACAGTCACATACACATATATGCACACCCATTTCTATAAACGCACGTACAAACACCCTACTTGTCTTATTTGTTCAATAGAGTCACCATTTTGATGACTACGTATGTATGTTTTGTATTTGTTTTGCACCTATACTTTTCTCAAGTAACTACTACACGTCTTATACAAGTGTAAAATTGTTAGTGTTATTATTAGCAAGGAAAATATTCGAGTCATTTTGCATCTTGGAGACTTTTTTTACTAACTTTGGTATCACAATGAACGTAACACTTTGTTTAATGGAACTGGTATGTATGATAAGTTCATAACCAGTGTCTGCTTTCCTGGAATTTTCTTCTTTCCGCATCATTGCTACACCATGATAACCATGATTCTAATGTTATGTTCTTCAGGAGGAACAAGGCCTTGATACAAGAGTTAAGTGAACCACCAGCAGGCTCAAGTGACCTTCATTTCCGTAACCAGTACTCGCAGACTTTCTTCATGCAATGCGTGGCTTGCTTGTGGAAGCAGAACCTGTCATATTGGAGGAACCCTGCTTACAATGCCGTTACGCTATTTTTCACAACTATCATAGCGCTTATGTTTGGCACCACCTTCTGGGACCTTGGTGGTAAAATGTAAGTAACTGCCGCATTTGTAACACCCCAAAATTTGCCACTTTTGAAAATAGAGTTAAAATGATTTATTTGTGAATTTTTGTGCACATGAAAACATAGGAAAATAAAAAATTTCATTAATTTAAAATTTATCATAATGTAGAAACGTGTTTGTTGCATTCATGCCGGCCGCACCTCGTGTTTCTATGTGCAAAATGTATGTTTTTTATATGTTTAGAAGATGAATATCTATCTCTAGGAATTTTTCAGATTCTTTCTGAAATTTAATTCCTACCTCCTTCACCTTAATCTTTATGTTCCAAGTTCCCAACAATATTTTTATGAGCTCCAAATATTTTATTTGGGTTCATCATGTTCCAAAGTGTCTCTGAGAATTTTTCCCAAATTTTCTGAGGTCTTGGAGTATTTTTTGGGGCTTGAATATCAATTCTGGACTTTTCTAGAATTATTTTATCCACGAAATTAATTAATTCCAAAAATAATAAATCTCTCATTTTTTTCCAACCCTCAAAACCCATGTGCAATAATCCTAATAAATCCTAAAGGCCCATGCATTTATTTACTAATGGGCTTTAATGATTATTTAGGTCCATTAGTAAATGTGGAAGGTGCAACATCAATTAATACCAAATCGCTGGTTGACGTGGATGTGTGGAGTTTTTCTTCCCATATATATCATCCAACCCCTTGGACAAAGCACACCAAAACTATCGTAAAGAGAGCCCCTAATTTAGGAAATACCTCGTGTAGTAAATTATATTTTTCTCCTCTTTCTCTCGCCGTTGCCGCCGTCGTCGTCGTCGCCGCCGCTGCGCTGCCCGTTGCCGCCCCGTCGAGCTGTACGTCATCATTCTTCTCCTCATCGCTGGGTTTGCATGAAGGTTGGACAATGCCCTGGTGCATCTTGTTCCCTCTCAATTCCTTCAGGTTCTCTTTTGTTTGCTTCTCCTAATTGTTCCTATCGCAGTCCGGCTTTTCCTGCCGCAGTACGCCCAACCGAGAGCACTGCTGCCATTCAGTCTCACCTGCGCCCACTTTCCGTGCCTCTATGCCGCCCTGCCATCGGCCAGCTCATCGTCTCTTCGCCTCAATCGCGAGCAACCATCGTCACTCTACCTGGATGAACTCGCCATCACGTAAGTCGCCCAGCTGTTGGAGTTGTTCACTTTGCTTTCCAAGCTTAGCGTCTCGTGCCTTCGCTGGTCCAGACCACGCAAAACCTCGCCTGCATCCTCGTCACAGAGCAAGCACCATGCACGGTCGATGCATGCCTAAGTGCAGATGAACATGCAAATCTGCACATATACATAGCACATTTGCCCACATGTTTGCACGTACATGTTTTTCTTGGTTTCTGTAATCTACTTGTTAGTGACGTATGAGCTTATTAATTTAAATATTAATATGACTAATATTCATGTAACTGAAACAAGTTTAACCTCAGCGTTTTCACAAGTCAAATGTCAATTCGATTAATACCAAATTAAACATGCTTTTAGCAATAATTCGCTTAGTTTAAACATGTTGCATATACGACAAACACATTTAGATGCTTTCACATGCACTTTTCTTTTATAAAAGTTAAAGTTTAATACGATTAAATTATATGATGACTAAAACATGATTAGCTATAACTTGACTTTTGAAAACTAAATATGCTTTTATTAATCGAAATTAATACTATTCATATAGTTTTCTTAATTAAAATAAATCAAACCCGTAGTTGCTTCTTTTATAATATAAAACTCTTGATAGTCGTTTCTTTTTAAAGATAGTTCCATTATCGGCGTTTCTTGCGTTCCCTCGATCGTACCAGCGAGTTGTCTCTTAGCACGCTATTTTAAAGCTCTTGCTCTGCTGTTCTTAGTTGCTTTTATTTGTTGCTTGTATATTTGCCTATGTGTGGTGCTTGCTACGAGTAGAACAAGATCCGTTTATGGGTGCTGAAGATCAGAAGGTGATAACCAGAAGCAAAGTATGAGAAAAATGTGAGCAAGAGTAAAAGGCAAGTATAGCATGGGATCTTTCTTGTTGTCCTATACACCTTTAATCATTTAATTCGTTTTGCATGTGTCTACCTTGACTACCACTAAGAATATCAAGTCTTTTGTACTTGTATCTTGACTCCTATGGGGTATTGCATTGGGTAGCTTTGCTAGTGCTCAAACTACAACCATGATCTTGTAACTTGACTAATGTAATATGTAATAAACACTAAAAGATGCTTTTTAGCAACATGGAACAAAGGGGCTAGAGCATTGGGCTATTTATGGTGCTCTAGATTCCTCTACCTAAGGATTTATCTGTAAGTGATCATCCGGGACTTACAGTACAGCTGTGAGGGCTACATGGCTCTGGCTTTAGCTCAGTATGAGGATATTTTCTAGCTTGTTAGTGGTTACCCTTGTGGCGCAAGAGGGGTGTGTTCCGGGTTGGATATAGTGCGGCCTCTGTCCGTCAGTGTATAGGCTGCGCGTCATTGTGTGTGCCGGAAGGGGAGCTCTACATTCGCAGGCCATAGAAACTTAGCGGACCTAACTTGTTAGATGAATCTTTAAAATGCTTCATAGTGAACCCTGCCGACCTTCCTTGGTAGTAGAATCTAGAGCAACCACAAGATTTGTTCAACACCATGGGTTCCATGTATGCTGCAGTTTTTTTCATCGGCATCTTGAATGCTAAATCTGTCCAGCCAGTAGTCTCTGTGGAGCGGACCGTGTTTTACCGTGGAAGAGCTGCCAGCATGTACTCGGCTTTGCCATATGCATTTGGACAGGTAAGCGGCTCTCATATATATAAACTCCTCATACATAGGTAGCGTATCCGTGTATTGCTACGGAACAACTAAATCTTTTGTATAAAAACACATGGATCGCATGATAAGATAATAATACTGTTAAATTAAATACCGACGTCAAAGTGACATTTAATTCAAAAAACAAAGTTCGTGAAATTAACACAGTCACGGAGAGCGCGACGTCGCAGGCTCACAGACTCTACTGTATAGATTTTTTCGTGATACGGCTAAGATAATATTTTATATCGACAGAAAGAATTCTACGATATCCATTTCTTTCATGCGCCAATAAATCCATGAATAAGTTCCACTGTATCTCCGTATAATCATGTACACACATGTTCGAGTATATATGTAAATAGGTTCGTGCCCGTACGTTGCTATGGGACAACTAAACTTTTGTACTAAAAACACATGGATCGCACGATAAGATAACAATACTGTAAAAGTATATGACCGACGTTAAAGTGACATTTAATCTAAAAAGCTATATTCGTGAAATTTACACCGTCACAGAGAAAATGGCGTCGCAGGCTCACAAACTCTACTGTGTAGATCTTTTCGTGATGCGGCTAAGATCATTTTTATACCGGGAGGAAGAGATTTCCGATATACATTTCTTTCGTGCGCCAACAAATCCACGAATAAGTTCCACCACTTCTCCATACCATCCTGTACACGGCGCTGGCAAACGAATTAGCCACAACTTATGTAATTAGTTTTATAATTAGCTCATATTTAGTCCTCCTAATTGATATCTAAAAATTCAATGTGACAGGGACTAAAGTTTTGTCCTGGGATCCAAACACCCCATAACTCTCGACTCCTACTGGCTGCTCACTTTATTGGCGTATGAAAGAAATGGATATTGGAGATTTCTTCCTGCCAGTATAAAACATTTTCTTAGCCGCATCACGGAAAGGTCTATAAAGTAAAGTTTGTGAGCCTGCGACGCCGCGCACTCCGTGACTGTGTTAAATTCATAAACTTTGCTTTTTGGATTAAATGCCACTTTAACGTTGGTATTTAATTTTTACAGTATTGTTATCTTATCGTGCGATCCGTGTGTTTTTAGTATAAATTATTAGTTATCTCGTAGCAACGCACGGGCACGCTACCTAGTATAAATATAAAGAAAGAAAAAGACGATAAGAAAGATTGGCATTAGGCCAACTCCTTTTGATTCTTTACAAACACATCTGAAAGTTAACATGTGGGATGTGGGCATCAAATCAGAACAACAAAAAGAATATGGATTCGACCATAAGTAGCATTTGCCCTGTTTTTTTTGAAAGAAAAGAAAGGTACTGCAGAGTTACAGGATTATCAATCTTATCAGCACCATCAATTTTTGCAATTGTAGAACTCAACCAAGACATCCATTGAAGTGCTACATCCCTAGCTCGCAACCCAATTAAGAGTAAGTTCTCGCAAGCCTAGCTCCCCAGCCATTACACGGCGTTGGCAAGCGAATTAGCCACAACTTATGTAATTAGTTTTATAATTAGCTTATGTTTAGTTCTCCTAATTGATATCTAAAAATTCAATGTGACAGGGACTAAAGTTTAGTCCTAGGATCCAAACACCCCTAACTCTCGACTCCTGCTGGCTGCTCACTTGCACCACCATATCTATGTGTCTGCACGTATATACTCTAATGCCAGAATGTCTAAGATGGTCTTTAAGGTTGCCATTTGTGTATGCTGTAGGATTAGGATGCTTTACGCTGATCTATGAGGGTGTTAATGAGAGTCGAAATTTTTTATGCCATTATGATGTCTAAGCTTACCAATCAGACAAAGCCGAACTTGATTGTTAAAATATTTTCAACACTGCTTTCATATACTCCCTCTGTCCCAAAATAGAATTTATTCTCGCTTCCCAAGAAGTCAACTTTTTTTTTAACTTCGACCAATTGTAATACAGGTATTTTTTACATGCATGTGGCCTCAGGAGTTGACCAATTGATTGTTAAATGTTGCACGTATTTTTTACAAACCTAGTCAAAGTTGAAAAAGTTTAACCTGCACACATCCCATAACGACTTATATTTTGGGACAGAGGAAGTATATGCTAATGGGAGTAGTCAGCTGGAAGTCGTGATGAACACAACAATACTTTTATATTATATGCTAATTGGAGCACGAAGAAACGCAGAGGAATGGACCTATATACGAATGGTGGGAATATTCGTTTAGGAAATTGTACAAGGTTCACCAGTCTCACCATGTATAACATGCACATCTTTTATTTGGCACCGCTGATGTTCTCAAGGAGCAGCCACTTTTTAATTTCAGGTCTGCATGCTGGAAACACTAAAATTAAGGGCCAACCTCATTGAGTCGTCTTGCTTGATCTTTGCCAATTGTTTTCTTCCATGCATGATTATTGTTTCCTTCCATGCATGTGGCCTCAGGTGATCGATTTGTTTCCTTCAAAGCAGGCGGGGATCGTAGGGATGTCAGTTTCTTTTTTTATCGCGTGGGGTATCGCATGGCCGGAAGAAAGGAGTCTTGCTTGATCTTTGCCAATTGTTTCCTTCCATGCATGATTATTGTTTTCTTCCATGCATGTGGCCTCAGATGATCGATTTGTTTCCTTCAAAGCAACGCGCGGGATTCGTTTGATTCAGCATGTGGCCTCAGGTGATCGATGTGCATACCTAATTATGGATACGGCTAAGATTTATTTGGGGTCATAATTCGGGGTATGCTACGGATCACCTACAATTAAAAAGAACAAAATATGGACATTTTTTGGTGCGACATTCGTTTGGTTTGTCCGTTTGCCCATGCCTGCGATCCCACGACATCTCCCGCATGCTGCGTCCTTTTGGTGTGATCCTGGTCCCCTCGCTCTATCCCATCCACCCTCACCGCGCCGCCACCACACGCGTCCGCCCGACTCCCGCTGAAAGCTCTAGTTTGGTTTTAGTGAATTGATAAAACCCTAATTGCTAACCTAGTTTATCAAGTGATCATGAGATAGGTAGCACACTCCAAGTGGTGAAGCAAATAAAGATCATATCATGATGATGATGATGGCATGGTGATGATCAAGTGCTTCGACTTGGAAAGAAGAAAGAGAAAAACAAAAAGCTCAAGGCAAAGGTATAATTTGTAGGAGCTATTTTGTTTTGGTGATCAAGACACTTAGAGAGTGTGATCACATTTAGGTTTGATAACCGTACTATTAAGAGGGGTGAAACTCGTATTAAAATGCGGTTATCAAAGTGCCACTAGATGCTCTAACTCATTGCATATGCATTTAGGATCTAGTGGAGTGCTAACACACTTAAAAATATTTGTGAAAATATATTAACATATGTGCACAAGGTGATACA